ACGACGATATAATTTGATGTACTCAACTGTATTAAGTGGTAAAATCCGGGCACTTACCATAACAAAAATGTATGTATGCGAACAGGTTGAATTGAAACAATATGAATTCGTTCTAAGTCAGGGAGAGCTTGTACTTTTCAGTTACACAACGCAGCGTTTTCTGTTCCACGCGGAATTCGTTATCATCAGAAGCAATACCTATGATGGAATTCGTGCGAGAATTTGCATCGAAGACTCGGGGCTGCATAAAATGGGCGGATTTACCATGAGAAACACCGGAACAATTCTTACAACTATTACTTTAAACCGGTTTTGTGTTGCTATTGGACTGGTTTTTGAAGTTCTGTTCATCAGATACCAAATGTAAATGATGTTGTAAAAAAAGGAACAGAAATTGTAAATAGAACTGCTAAAGAAAAACTGATGCATAACATGCACGTTTCAACGAGAAACATTACATGTGTTGTTGCTAAAGGATTGTTTTTTGAGTCCTGTCATAACAATAGTCTCGTAAAAGATGTTTAAATTTGTTAAGAAATAAATTAAAACTTCTCTATTCATTGCTATCTGAAAATGAAAAGCCAAAATCAGAAGAAGAAAAGAAATGGTTCAGAACATTGGCCAATGAGTAACTAACTACATGTATTTGGAAACTGTTCACCAAAAATAAAAGGCCTTTGAGAAATAAAATTAAGCAATACTGAAGCCTTCTGGGCCCTTAAGCTGCAAACGACAACAAATGTACAGTCCAATGTAAGATAAAGACAAACACATAAATTGCATCACTCCTCTATATCAACAAAAGCTCTTTAATTTTTGTGTCCTGTTACACTTTCCAAAAGTTACTCATTAGGTAATTACCGAAATTATATGTGGCTTCTGTTGCCATTTGGCAGTTAGTGCAATTATTGGATACAATATAGTATTGAATGGAAGTCAATATAGAAATTTGTTTACATTTTGCTACTTTTCAAAACTTTAAAATTAATAATTTCACATTCAGTTCTTCTCTACTTTCTGTAGGTGTTTATAATCTACCATGCCCCTACACCATTATCAAACCGTGATAAAACTCATGTTTACCATTTGTAAAGAAGGAAATATTTATTCGTTTCGGAGGCACAATGTTCCTTTAAGCTAGAAACTAATAAAAAAGGAAAAATAAAAAAGTGAAGATATCTTGTTATTATGATTTATTTGCTCAACGGACTCCACACAGGTTTCTTGACATGAGGGGACTGGAAATATTTCCCCGAGATTTGTGTACCATTTGATGTAGATCTGAACTAATAACATAACTGCAAACTTTCAGATAATCCCCTCAGCCCGTTTTTCAGCGCAAAATGAGCTAAAAATGAAAAGCGTTGTAACGTTTATCTAGCAGCTAAATGCTGCAGCGTGTCGTGAAGGCAGAATTACCGCACAACATTTTGGGTAATGTCTGACGGTAGAAAAAGTTGTATCTGCATTTTCGCTTTGCATTCTCGTAAATATTTGAAGTATTTTTCTATTTCTTATGAGATTTATTTCATATTCAATCAAACAAATTAATATCATGTTTTTTTTATTTATGCTAATACTTGGGTTTAACCTATAATTCACAGTATATCGCTTACCGATTATTGTACATATTCTATGCGTGAGTTTGTAACTCTACATGCTATTAAATTGAGTCCATTTTTTATGTCAAATATCTGTTATTATTATTATTTCACTAAAATATTTAAAAAATACACCGCGATGATGGCTATAGGGTAGAATAAATAGAGGATATTTGTAAAGTTCAGTGTAAGATCGGAATATATTTCACCGAGTGAGCACCAAAAGGTATATTTCACGAGTGGCGCAGCCACGAGTGAAATATGAACTTTTGGTGTTCACAAGGTGAAATATATTTCGATCTTACACTGAACTAAACAAATTTTCTTTTTATTATATGCAAAGAAACGTTTTAAAAAGACATTAAACCTAATACTGAATGAAAAGCGCGCCAAATAATAATACAACGTGACGTCATTTACGACGTCACGTCATTAAGTTGGTACCCAGTACTGTGGACGCTAGTATGTCACTGAAACAACGTAAGGGGCTTAAATCCAAAACAGTGAAATTATCAAAGTGGTAATTTCACTGTTTCAAACAGTGAAATTACCAGTTTTATATCACTGATATATTTCTATAAACCACCGAAAAGCATGTAATAAATGTTGTTATTACATGCTTTTCGGTGGTTTATAGAAATATATCAGTGATATAAAATTAGTAATTTCACTGTTTGAAACAGTGAAATTACCACTTTGATAATTTCACTGTTTTGAATTTAAGCCCCTTACGTTGTTTCAGTGAAATACCAGCGTGCACATGACTGGGTACCAACTTAATGACGTGACGTCGTAAATGACGTCACGTTGTATTATTATTTGGCGCGCTTTTCATTCAGTATTAGGTTTAATGTCTTTTTAAAACGTTTCTTTGCATGTAATAAAAAGAAAATTTGTTTAGTTTAGTGTAAGATCGAAATATATTTCACCTTGTGAACACCAAAAGTTCATATTTCACTCGTGGCTGCGCCACTCGTGAAGTATACCTTTTGGTGCTCACTCGGTGAAATATATTCCGATCTTACACTGAACTAAACAAATATCCTCTATTTATGATATATATACAAGTATAATCAATCAAACCGAACACTTTTCACTGTCCCTCATGAACAGATTCAGTCAAACCAAGTACATTATTCTATCTCTTATTAACGGACTCAAACAAACTATTTCTTTATACTTTCACTCATGAACAAACTCAAACAAACAAGTACTTTATACTATTTCTCATGACCAGACTCCAACCAACAAGTACTTCATACTATCTCTGATGAGCGGACTCAAACAGACAAGTACTTTATACTATCTCTGATGAAAGGACTCAAACAAACCCATATTTTATACTATCACTCTTGAACAGACTCAATCAAACAACGTATTTTATACTATCTCTAAGGAACTGACTAAAACAAACCGAGTACTTTATACTATCTCTAATTAACGGACTCAAACAAACTATAACTTTATACTTTCACTCATGAACAAACTCAAACAAACAAGTACTTTATACTATCATTCATAAATAGACCCAATCAAACCGAGTACTTTACACTTTCCCTCATGAACAGACTCAATAAAAACGAGTACTTTACACTATATCTCACCAAAGGACTCAAACAAACAAGAACTTTATACTATCTCTGATGAACAGACTCAGTCAAACAAAGTACTTTATACTATCTACCATGAAAAGACACAGAGTACATTACATTACCTCTCTTGAACCGACTCGAACAAATCGAGTCTGAAAATTTTACCTTTTTTTAAATTTTTGTTTTCATTACTATCGAGGGATTTCTCTTTTTACAATTTTTCAATATCTGTTTAGAAAACATTATTTCAGTGGCCTCAATAATTTAAATTTGAACGGAAGTTACTAATAACAATTAAGGACATTACATTGTCTTAAGTAGGAAGACATTTCCACGTTTTCAAATATAGATTAACAATAGAAGATGTTACATCTATTCAAATCAAATAAAATAAATCAAACTTTGAATTATTCAAGAGATACGTAATAATGTGGCATTGATCATGCATATTTTTGATACGACACAATGACGATATTTATCCGCATAGTTTTATCATCATTTATCCAAATATGGATTTTTAAAGGTAATGTTTTGCTTCTATTTGTATCTCTTCTTAGATATTATTTTTTTTTAAAAAGGTGTTAGCATGGAATATATTGTTACATGACGCTTATAAAAAAATAATAAAGAAATGGACTATTTTACGACCTCCTTCCGTTATGGTACGATGATGAAATGCGATGGTACGGTGGTACATGTATGATGGAAAAATGCGGTGGTACTGTGGCACGATGGTGAAATGCGATGGTACGATGACACGATGGTGAAATGCGATGTTACGATGGCACGATGGAGAAAAGCGATGGGATGGTGGCACGATGGAGAAAAACGATGGTACACGGGTACGATAATGAAATACGATGGTACGATGGTGAAATGCGATAGTACGGTGACACGATGTTGGAATGCGTTTTTCATTACAAACAATCGTAATAGCGAATGCATACATGATGTTATCTTGCAGCTTGAAATGTTATCAGTTTTTAACAATGTTTCCGATATTGTAATTTGAGATGATGTTGTACTTAATTGATTTCCTGTCGAATGCGTTTTAGTCCACTAATAATGTAATCTACTAGTAATTTCTACATCATATCTACTTTTAAAATATTAAAATGCTATCTATCCCACGGTTTGGAGACATTGTAATGCTTAAAAAGATGAAACCGGTGGTCAGATAAAAGGCGGGAAATGTGGCTTTAAGAAATCTTAAATCGAAAATATTTAAAAAAAAATACTTGGTTTAAACATATTTATTCAACAAAACATTTAACAAGTGAACAATATTTACAAAGTACATTTTGGGATTGGGCAGAAAGCTATAAAGCTTATAAATGTCTCGGCGGTCTCGGCGGGTGCTTTCTTTGTAAAACAACAACAACACACACTTATCCAAAGCACGCATTTCAAAATCCTCGAATACCCTAGATTTTCAAACGAAAAACAAACAAACAAAAACGAAATTTTGTTTCAGCGTTCGGACCTTTTCATCTTTGCATTAAGCGATTTTATGAAAATGTGTATAAATGGTTTAATTTTGAACAAACGACATATAATTATCATGATTGTTTATATAATTCATTCTTATCTATAAACTGAAAACAAGCCTTTAAAAGAATGTATAAAGGGTCAAAAACTATATTACTATATAGATAAAATACAACTACCGATCAAGTAGATTTTTTAATTTGTACAAAGATTTAATGTTTTCAAAAATTATATCGCACACATTATGATACCAAAAGAGTTTTGAAATGATAAAAGTCTTTTTTTGAATTTATTAAAAAAATGAAACAAATATAATTACCATTGTCCGCCATACCCGGAAGTTGTGCTGCACATTGGCTCAATGAATAATATCAATCGTAAACGCTCGGCTTTTCCCGCCAAACTTCGATCAGGTTTTCTGTTCAATGCGAACAGTCCTGAATGCTGATTATTACTTCCGGTAGCTTATCATACACACCGTATTACCGACACCGGCACCAGCGATGACACATTGCTGTAGAGATGAAAAATCTAAAATTTGCTGGCTATAAATTTGGTTAGTATATTCATATTACGCAAATAAAGACAATTTCATTGCTATAGATTTTATGTCTATTGACTGGATAAACTATCAGGTAATTTTGGATACGTTTCCCAATTTCTAAGAATATTTTAAGCGGCTGAAAAATGACATCTTCAGAAATAATAATCCTCGAAATATGTCGGCGTAACTGTTTCCGGGAAATTGATAGGCTGCCATATAGAAGAGTTCGGGAAATATTTTTTATTTAAAATACATTTTATTCCTATAATAAGACTAGTATCAGTT